AACTAACAACACATACTAATTTCTTTTCTTATTGATTAAATTATTAAATTTATAGTTTGATTGGAATAAAATAAAAAATTGGATATTAAAGCGATAATTGCTAATCATCCATGTAGTTAACACGAAAATAATCACGTCATTTCTTACCTTAATTACCCTTACCATTTCCTAAAATCTAATTTGTTATATGTATATATATATAAAACACTAATTGGTAAAAAATCCCAACTAATCATAGTATTTTTAATTTGTTAACTACCGAAATCATTCAACTTCAAAATTTAAATTAGTATATAAACGAACGAAAAATAGGGCAAAAGAAGAGGTGATCATAACTTTATATTCCTCCATTTTTCATTTGAAACAACTTAGGCATAAACTGAAAAATATTGTTGTAAATATAAGATCCATTTCATGCCACGTTCCAAAATAAAATTAAATTTTTTTTTTTACTAATTATACGTTTTTTTGCCAATTATAAGTGAAATTTTAGAAACCACTAATATCTCTGGGCTTAATCCGATTATCAAGATTATTAGGAATTTGTTGAGTCAATCAGTGGGATTCCCCTCCGAAACATTTAGATGAGATAGAAAAATTGATATGTTAAGAAATATACGAATATGATCTAAAGAAATGGTTTACCCAAGACCTTCAACATGTTGAAATCACGATATTCATAGAACTCATAAAGTTTATGGGACGCTCTTACCCACAAATTTGTTACCTTTGAGTGAAATTTGGGAAATCAGTTCTGATGCTAATAGAAATTCAATGTTCCTCGTTAAAGAGGAAGAATTATAAATGTATGCAAGCTTGAAGCAGAATTTTTATAATTTCCTAAAAAAGTTTCTGGTTGTAATAAAATTCCACAACCTGTGATTCCATAGCAAACGTTGAACATACCTTTGTTCCTTCGAAGCTTTTGAATCATGAAAAAGTAGAAAAAATAGCAGAAATGAAAAGGAACGAATGTTTTGCATTAAATTACTGTTTCAGGAAAGCTCCGAATTTTACAGGATGAGATAATATGATGGATGAACATGGTTAATCACTTCAATCATACCGCTTGTATATAAGTCCGAAATAGGTGAACTGAAATTGATTTCGATGTTTTCTGATTTAACCGAACCGTTCACCACAGATATTAAAATGATTGGTTATTTTAGTCAACCGAATCCGTCGAGGGTCTAGTGATGATGGGCTTTTGGCACTTAAAATGACATTTACCCATCGTTTAATACAAGATCGCGTTACGTGGCTCAACTCAGCATTTCAAATTTATCAATTCTAGTTAAGCATTTCCCAGCTCTACTTGTTTCCCAACAAAGTCCCATTGTCTTTTATGATATTTGATCGATCAGTCTATTATCTATAATTCTTCCACCGATTATTTATCATAAGTTTCTCTTTACATTCATAAATGGCCCTTTACTTTAACTTTTCTTCTGATTTAAGAATTAGAAAAGCACAAAATGTGAATTTGACCAGTGACGGAAAAAGTTTCAGTTCAGTGACACTTTGATAGAGCAATTGTGGAAGTGACATTGCAAAGTTTATTCCATTCCCATATTATTAATAATATCTTACAATTACTTGACATAATATCAAGAAAATGTATTACATCACTGTCTCATGAAAAGTTCTTATGAATTTTTTGTCTGTTTCTTTTTCTTAGACATTTAATATTTTCACCATCGAGCAATTCCATTAATTTTATATGGCTTCAATGCGAGCAGCACTTTCTCTATGCTTCTAACAAAAAGTATAATTTTACCACAGAAACTATTTTAGTAGTAGGGTAAATTGCGGTTGAATAATTTATCAAACTTTTTAAAGTTTATCAAAAATTTATCAAACTCAAACATTCAGGAGTCGATTTATATTTTCTTACATTTAAGTAGTATTATGCTGTTTTAACTTAAACAAATAATGGTAACTGAGAACTTTAAAATAATAACAAT